TTTGGATAGGATTGACGCCAACAATTCAATCCTAATTATTCAGGAAATAATCTAGCCGTATACCACTCGACCTATAAATTTAAATGGATTAAACTATCTTTGCTTTTTGGAAAATAGTTTCATGCACAATAACTTTTAAATAAAAGCCCTCGACCGCTTCGCGGTCTCGGGCTTTTATTAAGTTCTTGTGCATTCAACTATTTTCCAAGCAAAATCATGCTCAAAATATGTTGGATAGTTTAATCGATTAAATTTAAAGCTCTTGTGATATAATATATGATTATTGTTTATTGCAAACTGTAGGAAATCGAATAATGCCCGTATGCACCATTGCACAAATTCTCTGATTAAGACTTTAGCCGTGATCACAAAATATTTTTCATATGCACCAAGCGTTTTTTTCGCCTATTGGCAATTAACTTTAAATTGCTCGATGGCCTGGAATTTAGAACAAGATAACCGCGGCTAGTTAATAAAATGAGGTTAGGTGTTTTGTTTGTTTTGGTTCCGATTTCAAATTTCATATTTACATTTTACACACATTTTTGTAAAAAAAAAAAAACTGGAACAAATTTGTGTGAAGTGGGCCAGGAAAAAAAAGAACTGAAATCAGGAATATGGAGGTGGAGAGACATTATTTGACAATGATTAATTTGGATAATGAAATTGTGTTAGATGGGTTTCCGTTTCCAAGGCGTTGGAATGAGAGGGAAAATTATTTTATTTGTCACTCATTTGTAAAACGTCACTTATCAAGTCAAAACATAAACAACGAAAATTCATTTTTACAAGGCACTGGCTCTACTGACTTGTAAAATTGACAGCTAAACTGTAATAGTATATTACAATCCGAGACGGAAAATACTTCATTGCTGGTCGAGAGGTTATTATAGTTTATCGAAACGCGAAGCGTCGAGATAAACTCAACCTCGAGACAGAAATGAAGTTTTCCGTCGAGGTTTGTATACTTTTTTATTTTCAACCCTTAATTTTCTGATGCAAAAACTAAAGATTCTGTTATACGAAATTTTCATATAGTGTAAAACTGGCCTTAGAAAAAAATATTTCACTTTTTTTGTCAATGTCATCAATTTTGACGATCTCAAAGGCCCTGTAAAGGCCAAAACAAAAGACGAAACCACAGGAAACCGCAAAATCAACAACCATAGATAAGATCAACAACGCCTTAACGACGGTAGTTTTCGCTCAGTATTTTTGCGGAAATAATAGATTTTCACTAGATTTCTCCCCGTTCTCCCCAAAGAAATGATTTCGGAAAGTGAAGATGAAGCGATGGATTGTACCCCACCTGAATTAAAAGAAGCAGCAGACAGGATTGGAGAGAGTTTGCTTCCAGCAAAAAGCAAATTTCGGTACGAAAAGGCTTTTCAAATATTCGAAGCATGGTGTAGCCAGAAAGGAACGAGAAATACTGCCTCGGAGACCGTTTTGTTGGCGTATTTTGGCGAATTATCTAAGGAAAAGAAGCCTTCGACTTTATGGTCGACTTACAGTATGTTGAAAACCATGATTAAATTGAAAGAGAAAGTTGATATCTCCAATTACGCAAAACTTATAGCTTTTTTGAAGCGGCAAAATCTGGGCTTTCAGCCGAAAAAGTCGAGCGTTTTTTCCAGAGAAAACATTAACGAGTTCCTCACGAAGGCAGCTGAAGAATTCATTAGCATCAAGGTAGGTTTTCAAAAAATATACAAAGAAGATAAAAATGCGAAAATCAAAATGATTTTCTGTATGCTATAGCTAGGTTACCCATTTTATTTTTATCTGGTTTCAGGTAGCGCTAATTGTTGCTGTGTCGGGTGCATGTAGGAGCGATGAACTAGTCAAGATGAAAATGGAGCACGTCAACGTTTTGGAAGGAAAGATCGCTATAGAAATTCCACACACAAAAACTTACACAAGTCGATCGTTTATCATAAGCGATCCAGATTGGGTTGCTATTTTCCACAAATACCTCACTTTGCGGAAAAATTTGAAAAATGACAGGTTATTTGTTCAATGGCGAAATGGGAAATTACATAACCAAGCAATTGGCTATCATTCAATCTCAAAATTTCCACATAAAATAGCTGCTTTTTTGAAGCTTCCAAAAATTGAAACTTTTACAGGGCATGCTTTTCGTCGTACTTCCGCAACCTTATTGGTTGACAACGGGGCCGATCTATTGCAACTCAAAAGACTGGGAGGGTGGAAATCGAGCACGGTTGCTGAAGGCTACATAGAGGCATCTTTGGAGAACAAAAGTAAGACTGCTCTGATGCTATCCTCTACTTCCAAAGGTATTCAGTTGTCCAGTGCATCCACAAGTACATCACATGCGGAAACTCATCCGCAAGCGCAAGAGATAATAGTTCCAAACGAAACACAATTCCAACAGGATGGTCTCAAGATTTCCATTATAAACAACAATGCTAATTTAACAATTAATGTAAATAAGTGAATAGATTTAATTAGTTCCATGTAATACATGTGGTTTTATTATTATATGTGAGAGCTGTATGAAAATTATCAATTTGGAACGAGCAGGGAAATGGGGACGGAAAAGCATTTGCCGTCCCGGACGGAAAATGCTTTTCCGTCCTAGGCAGGCATATGCATTACCGTCCCGATAAATGTCAAAGTCCAGAAATGTGACACTTTCAAGATTTTGAAAAACCTGCAATGTCAACATTACATATGTGGTTGAAAATAAAAACTTTTTACAAGTCAGTAGAATTATTTATTTTTAAAAAATCAGTTTTTTCACAAGAATAATTGTATGTAGGTACCTTCTGGAATCCTTATCTGGTGATAAACTGTTAGCTACGACTGTAGTTTCATTAATAATATCTTCTGACACATTCATTTCTGGAAAAAAATTGCAAAATGCAAATCTTCCAGAAAACCGGATTATAACTAAAAACAACGACTTAACAACATCTCGTTCTTATAGGTATAGGTACTAGGCTTGTATGACAAAAAATCAAAAAAAAAAAATATTTCTTTTTTTTCTAATTTCATGTATCAATTTTTTATTTTTCCCTATATTTTTTACAAATGAGTAACAAATAAACTATTGTACATTAAACGCCAGGTAGCAGTTTTTACTGGCTCTTGAAGGTGACAAGCTCGCCTGACGGCTCGCTAGTCATTTCCTTCAATCGCCAGTAAAAACTGTTTTACCTGGCTAATAATGTAAAATACTATTGAAGCCTTGGATGATCTGATCTATAAGCCAATGTCGTAGATCATAGATCTTCTTGAAGAGGTAGAAGATGCCCTATCATTATTATAGGGTGTAGTACCTACATTCTATGCAAATTTATGACTTGATTCTTGATTCCAATAACTAGGTAATGACTATGTAATTACTGTTTATTTCAAATAAAATGCCCTACATGCCCTGGATGTTTTGTTTGTTTGTTTGTTTATAAAATTAAAATTCATCGACAAAAAACGCAGAATGGGTCTCGCCAACCCCACATACCGCCAACCCAAAATGGGCTTTTATTGCCTTTTATTAAAATCTATAGGAAATTTGCGACGTTATCGGTGAGTTCCTTTCAGGTGGCCCTCATTACAAAATCACAATTAACTAATTTGAGTGCAAAATCCTTTGGTGCATCGAACCGACATTTTTACTGTGATCACATAATTATCCGTGATTAGCTAATAACGAAAATACGTGAAAATGGTGAATAGTATGAGGAGCTCCGGAACAGCTCCGGGCATAGAGGCTCCGGGGCGTTACGCGCTTATTCCTTCCGAAAAGTGTTTGTTGCACATGAGTACTCAAGCCCAAAGTAAACCATAAATGCACGAAAGTCGGCGAATCTGTTCCTTTCAAATCGGGTTGACACACCGGAGCGAGTAGCTCTAGTGTTTCAAACTCTTGAAAGGAATACAGCTACATACTGGAAAGCAGCTTTTATATCCTATCGGCGGTGCACTCTCGTACTCTATCCGTTCCAGCGGCCGCACCGGTGCGGCGTGATCCCGACAATCCGGAGCCGTTGATCGAAACGAGTCTGTCGGTGTAATGTACTCCGTCTCTGAATCTGTGTCCCTACTCCGAGTCCACACTTTTTCCTGTTCCACTGGCCGGCGCGGCGTGATCCGATTAGTTCGAGTTTGACTCCGAGTCCGTACAACGTAGACAACGCAAAAGTGGTCCGGACTTGAACTCGAACTTGGACCGGACCTGTTTATTTTGCAGTGGATCAGTTCCCACTGTGAAGATCAGTTCCAGTATTTGGCCCTGATAATAGCCAATTTTGGGTTGGCGAGACCCCCTATCTGCGTTTTTTTCGATGAATAAATTTTAGGTATACAGTATACACAAACGAACAAAGCATCCTGGGCATTTTATTTGAAATAAACAGTAATTACCGTAATTACATAGTCATTAGTTACTGGAATCAAGCCATAAAATTGCATATAATACTACCACCCTATCATAAGTTAAGTTAGGGCATCTTCCACCTCTTCAGGAAGATCTACGACTATTGGTTTGGTTTATAAGATCATCCATCCAAGGCTTCAAAATAATTTTCCGTCTCATTCCAACGCGTTGGAAGCCCATCTAACACAATCATTATTTATCAGTATCCAAATCCTCGTCAAATAATAGGTGGTCCATCTCCATATTCCTTATTTGATTTCTCCCTGCTCACCCTCGCCACACACTATTTTTCCAGTAATTTTTTGGGGACAAAAATGTTTTTAAAATGTAAAAACAAAACAAAACATTCTAACCTCATTTCATTATAGCCGCGGTTATCCTAAATTCCAGGCCATCGAGCGATTTAAGTTAATTGCTGTGGTAATCGACAATTGTGCCGTTCATCAGGACGTAGCGCTACTGTAGCGATCATCAGTCAGCCATTTTTTCCATCATAAAACAGTTCGATGCATCAACCGTTTTTTATGTCAAGTGTCAAGTTTAAAGTAAACAAACAAGTTTTTGGTTAGTATAATTATTTAAATAATTGGATTATTTTGAAAATATTTGTTTTTTCCATGTTAGCGTTTAAGCGTTTAGCCGTGAAAATGGGTGAAAACTTGGAGATCACCTATGATTTCAAAGATAATTTTTATACAGTTGTTGGTAATGGAGAATTCCATTATCGGCTTCAGAATGGTAAGATTTTCATTCCATTCAAATATTTGATACAATAATATATTTTCTAGATTCAGACTTTTCTGATGAATATTTTGCAAGTCTCACCAAAAAAAACTATTTTCCGATAGACAGTGTTGATTCACAAGGATGCCAACAAAAAATCAAATAATCAGTGTGGTATGTTCACAGTTCACAGTCCATATATTGTTTTGAATTAAGTTTTTCCATAATTTGTAGACATAGGAAATAAACAAAATACTGGTTTTGGTGCTAGCTGTGACCCTACTCCCAGTACAAGTACTGACTTTCAATCATTGTGGTCATCATGTTCAGGTAAGGGTAAGACTTTTTTCACACAAAAAAAGAAACTTCTTGTAGGGTGATAAGTTAACTGAATAAATTCTTTTTGTAGATATTGAAACCAATCCAAAAACTGAATTCAAATGGACCAAACAGGTTACATTGCTTCTTTTGAATTTATACAAGGAAAAAAATGAACAATTCCGAAATTCAAAAATAAAAAATAAAGATATTTGGTCAAAAATATTAAAAGAATTTCAAAACAAAGGGTACATTGTCACAATAGATCTGTTAGACAGAAAATTCAGGAATATGAAAAAAACCTATAAAGACAATAAAGATAAAAAAAAGACTACTGGGGAATCATCCATAACATGGGAATATTTTGAAATTATGGATGAGATCTTTTTCAATGATAAAACAATGAACCCAACAACGACAATATCTTCAATGGAACCAGTTCTAAAAAATTCCAAAGTAAATTTAAACTCTGAAGTTAGTACAATCGTTAAAGTATCGGACAAGGAGAATCAGGAACCAAAAGTGGAGAAAAAATCCGAAAAAGAACTGACAAAAGTCATTAAAGCGAAAAGAGTCAAGCATCTATATGATCATCGAAAAAAAATACAGGAAATAGAAAATCAAAGATTAGAAGAGGTGCAAAAATTGAGACAAGCAATACAGAGAAACAATAATATTCAAGAAGAAAGGAATGAACTTTTAAGGCAAATGCTGTCGAGAAATTGAACTAGTTAGATAGTTACTTATATACATGTATTTCTTTTCCTATTCTATAATGTATGTAAATTGTTGTGGATTTAAGTTTAGGTGCTGTAGAAGTTTGTTAATGTTAATTTATTATTCCTATTTGTTTCTGGAAAAAACCGGTAAGTTTAAGCGTTGAATACCTAAGTATTATATAGTTTTTTTTTTCAGTTCCTATATTCTGTGATACCTCTAGGTTTGAATTGAAGTTATTATTATTATTATTATTATTATTTATTATTATTATTATTATGATACAATAGTAAGCAGTTTACACTGATGAAACTATTGGATTACTTGTAAGTTTATCGTCGTGTTTTTGGTAAAAACTTATTGTCCATAATGAATATCCACATGGAGTAATGCACTCATATCGGTGTCGACCTTATTCTTGAAAGAATTCAGACTCTGGGCGGTGACTGTAGAATTTGACAGGCTGTTCCATGGGTAGACAATTCGATTTGCTATGAAGTTTCTTCTTGGAAGCTTGGCGGTTTTTTCCTTGCACAACTTCAAAGTATGACCTCGTAGATGGGGGTTGTTATTGAAGGTGAAGATGTCAAGGTTACAGGAGTAGCCATTTCGAATAATCTTGTATGTCTCGATCAGATCTCCTCTCTGACGCCTTTCCCTCAAAGAAGTGAGTCCCAGGGTGGATAGTCGAGTAAGGTAATCTTCATTACGGAGTGATGGTGGAATTTTTGTTACTCGTCTCTGCACTCGCTCTAGTATCTCGATATCCTTTATGAAGTACGGATTCCAAACTGAGTGGGCGTATTCTAGTTTTGGACGTATGAAAGATTTATACAGTTTCATAATGGTGTTGCACGACTGGTCTTCAAAGGCCTTTTTCACAAGGTATATGTATGAGTTGGATTTTTTGGCAATTTTTGATATGTGCATCTCCCATTTCAGATTATAGGTTACTATGACACCTAGATCCAATTGCTCCCTCACATGCTTCAGCTCGACATTGTTTATTTTGTAGGCATACTCAGTGGTGTTGGTTCCAATGCTCAAGATAGTACATTTTTCTTCGTTTAGCCTCATTTTCCACGTATTGGACCACACTTCTATAGCTCTGAGATCTTCTTGCAATTTCTTGTGTTCTGCGGCCTTTGCATACAATTTCGTGTCGTCGGCAAAAAGTAGAACCCTGGTTTGGATATTAGATGTCATATCGCTGACATACAATAAAAAAAGTAGAGGACCCAGTACTGATCCCTGAGGCACCCCACTCTGCACTTTTCTTCTGTCTGAAAAGATTGCATTTATTCTTACTTGGTAGCATCGGTTTAATAGAAAATTTGATACAAATTGTAATAGGTTCCCAGCAATGCCAAAGTGATGTATTTTGTGCAGGAGATAACTGTGACACACTTTATCGAACGCCTTCTCAAAGTCGAGATATATCACATCCACTTGCTCGTTATTGTCAAAGTCCCTTGTCCAATCGTCCAAGCATAGTGTAAGGTTGGTTGTTGTAGAACGCCCTGGAAGAAAACCATGTTGGTGCTTCAGTAATGGATTTTGCTCCAGTACAAATGGGGTTAACTGTTTCACCACAATTTTTTCCATACACTTGCATAGATTGCACGTCAAACTTATTGGACGATAGTTCGATGGAGCGGTTTTGTCTCCTTTTTTGTATATTGGAATCACAAACGATGTTGACCAAGTCTCAGGAAAGTTGTGAGCTTCAAAAATACTTTTCATGAGATCAGACAAGGGTTGGCTCAGGATGGCTGCACAATTTTGCAGGAACACTGCTGGAATTCCATCAGGGCCTGGGCTGGAATCCGTCTTCAACGATTTTATTGCTTCATACACCTTATCAGGAGATAAGTCAATATTTGACATCTTTGAAGTTGCACGTAGGTATTCCGGAATTAGTGGCATTTCGTTTTGATTTCCTTTGGTGAATACCTTTTCAAATTGGTTTGCAAAGCATTCCGCTACATCAAAGTCGTCAGTCAAAAGTTCATCCGCTTCATTCTTTAATGTTATTGTTGAAACTTTGGTTGATAGTGTTTTATTCACATACTTGAAAAATATTTTATCTGAGCTCTGAGAAGCAATGTTGCATTCATAGTCTTTTCTTGACTTTCTAATTACACTTGTTAGGTAGTTGTTTTGTTCGCGATATTTTTTGTAATTGTCATCTGTAGCTGATTTTTTGTATTTGTCCCATAGACCTCGTTTCTTTTCTATTTGTTTAAATATGAACTGGTTTAGCCACGGTTTCTGTGGGTTTGTTTTACATGGTTTCAAAGGAATGAACTTGTCTATAGCACTGCTTAAGACTGACGTGCACGTGTGGAACACATCACCCGAGGCAGCAAAATTTTGCTCAGCCAGAAAACTATTGATTTTCTCATAGTCGGCACTGAAGAAGTTGCGCTTCAATACAGTTTTCGTAGGACGCAGTTCACACTTTAGTTGACTTTTTCCAATGATGACGACATGGTCGCTCTTTCCTATGGGTGGCTCGGGTTCCAAGTTATATAGCAGTTTCTTATCATTGGTGAAGACTAGATCAAGTAGTGAGACTTGGTCATTTCGGAAACGTGTTGGGAAATCAACCATTTGGTAAGCATTAGTTTCAAGATAGTTGTCCAAAAAAAGTCGATTTTCTTTGTCTGGGTTGGACAGATTAAGATTCTTCCAATCTATATACCGATAGTTGAAATCCCCCATAATATAAACGGGCATATCCAATGAACAGGCACGCTTAATTGAGTTGATCATAATATTATCATTTTCCTCACTAGAATAATCCGTTCTGTATATACAAGAGACCAGAAATTTGATGTTACAGACCTTTATATCAATCCACAATGACTGTATTGTGGCTAATGTATTAAATTGATTGTTTACTGTAGAATATACTTTGTGTCCATTCAGCTCATCCTTAACCAAAACACACACTCCACCTCCAGTTTGATTTTCTCTGTCTTGGCGGAATACACTATACCCATCAATCCCAACAATACTATCAACAATGTTCTCATTAAGCCAAGTCTCTGTTACTAAGATGCATGCAGGATGAAGTTGTTTTAGTTTATTTTTGTAAACTCTTTTAACAACCTAGTCTTGAAATATGCAATAGGTACCTAGTACAGCTAAATACTTTGGATAGTTAGGTGCCATTGTGATAAAAAGAAGTAGTACTACAAAAATCTCCTCTCTGATGTCTGCCTGTATTAATATGCCATTGCTCAAATCCAAAATATTAAAATGTTGATTTTCTGGATCCTTTTTTTTATCGCAATGATACTTGTTTTTCTGTTCCTCTGTAAGCTGTATTATTTTGTTTGAATATGTTTATTTTTTGTTTGTTTGATAATCTCAAGTTTTTTTTTGACAAAAGAAGTTAATTTAGGCCGGAATTACCTAAATCCTTAATTCTTTGTATTTGTCCTTAATTCTTAATTCCTAATTTATTTAACATTGAGGTTTTGAATGATTGAGAATTAAGTACAAATATTAAGAATTGAGAAATTGGGTAACTTATTTTGTTTGAATATGTTTTTTTTTTTTTTTTGATAATCTTAAGTGTTTTTTGATAAAAATATGTTTATTTATGGAAGTTACTCAATTCCTTAATTCTTAGTATTTGTCCTTAATTCTCAATTCTTAAAAAGTTCAATTTATTTAACATTGAGGTTTTCAAAGATTGAGAATTAAGTACAAATATTAAGAATTGAGAAATTGGGTAACTTATTTTGTTTGAATATGTTTATTTTTTTTCTGATAATCTTAAGTGTTTTTTGATAAAAATTTGTTTATTTAAGGAAGTTGCCCAATTCCTCAATTCTTAGTATTTATCCTTAATTCTCAATTCTTAAAAAATTCAATTTATTTAACATTGAGGTTTTCAAAGATTGAGAATTAAGTACAAATATTAAGAATTGAGAAATTGGGTAACTTATTTTGTTTGAATATGTTTTTTTTTTTGATAATCTTAAGTGTTTTTTGATAAAAATATGTTTATTTAGGGGTTACTCAGTTCCTCAATTCTTAGTATTTGTCCTGAATTGTCAATTCCTAAAAACTTCAATTTATTTAACATTGAGGTTTTCAAAGATTGAGAATTAAGTTCAAATATTAAGAATTGAGTAACTTATTTTGTTTGAATATATATTTTTTTTTTTTTGATAATCTCGAGTGTTTTTTTGATAAAAAGATGTTTATTTAGAAAAGTTACCCAATTTCCTGACTCTTGGTAATTGTCCTTAATTCTTAATTCCTAAAAAGTTCAGTAATTATTTTTAACATTGAGATTTTTAAAGATTGAGAATTAAATACAAATATCAAGAATTGAGGACTTGGGTAACTTATTTTGTTTGAATATGTTTATTTTTTTTGGTAATCTCAAGTGTTTTTTGATAAAAAGATCTTTATTTAGGCCGAAGTTACCCAATTCCTTAATTCTTAGTATTTGTCCTTAATTCGTAATTCCTAAAAAGTTTAATTTATGTAACATTGAGAATTAAGTACAAATATTAAGAATTGGGTAACTCCGGCCTAGTTTCACGGTGGTAAATTAGGTTTGTAACTACTTTCAATAAACAAACAAAAATGGAGTCTGTATTTTATTTTTATTCAAATTAACACCAACATATTATATTTTAGGAAAAAAAAGTACATTAATTTTTAAAAATTAATATTACAGTGATACATATTGAATCTACATAATTCAACACTTACCTGTGCTGTAATGAGTGTAATGTAGACAGGGTATTTTTTATTTGGGGTTTTCCTTTTCTGATGACTTAAAACTTTGAAAAAACAACGAATTTTATGAAAAACTCAAAAATAAAGGAGATAAAGATGATCATTTTAAATATGTAATATCAAAAATCAAATAAGTCCATTTGCAAAAACTTTATTTATTACAAAAAAAAAGGGAACATTCTAACAAGAATTTTACCTTTTTTTGTGCTAATTAAAGAAAAGCACAGGGACTTAACTAGATTTTTGGTTTTTGCCAACCTAAAAAACACCCTGTATAGAAATATAATGGAATAAAAAAATTTTATACTTAAAATTACAAATACCTTAAATATCTACTTAATATATTTATTAGACTAATAAATTTGTACAAATATTATCTCGTTTTTCTGCAGCTGTATCTCCAAGTTCTTCATTATTTTCATCAACTCCATCACCATCCTCGTTTGCTAATTCTATATCTTCTTCGTACAAATTAATTTCCCCCTGTGTTAATAAA